TTTTTTTTTTTTTTTTTTTTTTTTTTTTTTTTTTGAGACAGGGTTTCTCTGTGTAGCCCTGGCTGTCCTAGAACTCACTTTGTAGACCAGGCTGGCCTCGAACTCAGAAATCCGCCTGCCTCTGCCTCCCAAGTGCTGGGATTAAAGGCGTGCACCACCACTGCCCGGCTAGTCTTTTTTTTTTTTTTTTTTTTTTCAATTGACTTATTTTTATTTTATGTGTATGAGTCTTTTATCTATCTACATCTGTAGTTAATTGTGTACCATGTATGTGCCTGGTATCCATGGAGGCCAGAAAGGGGTCAGAGCTTAACTGTTGAGCCCCTAGTCTTCTCTTTATCAAAATTCAACTGCTAGGATACAGACTTGTAGTCGGTAAATTTCTGGCTCTAACAGAGCCATGTTGTTAGTGTATTTGAACTTTTTCTCTTGTGCTAATTCTCAGGCTTTGCTGTAGCTATTAGTGTTGAATTCAAGGAATCAGACTAAGAACCGTGTTTAAGTAAATGTCTTGAACACCTTTTTTGGGGGGGGGGTTGTTTGTTTGTTTGTTTGTTTGTTTCAATACAGGGTTTCTCTGTATAGCCCTGGCTGTCCTGGATTTAAACACTTCCTTTAAGAAAAAAAAAAAAGCCAAAATTTCTTTTTGAAAAGCCCACAGGTTTCCAGGCACACACAAAGGTACACACCTTTGATCCCAACGGTCAGGAGGCAGAGGCAGGCATATCTCTGAGTTTGAGGACAGCCAGGGCTACACAGAGAAATCTTATATTGAAGATAAACAGAAAGGAGGAAGAAGAAAAGACAGAGCAATGGAGCCCACAGGTTAATAACAGTATCGCAGGGGCTGGGTTAAGTGGGTAAAAACCTTAGTTCAGATACCCAAACCATGTGAACAGTAGCTCATATCTGTAATCTCACATTCAAATACATAGGTGGAGACAGAAGAATCTAAAGAGGCCTGTGAAGAAGGCCAGCAAGCCTGCTGTATTAAGATACAAACAACAAAAGATCTCTCAGAAAAATGCAAGACAGGACTGACAGCTGAGGTTGTCATGTAACCTCTGAGTGTATGCATACACATATGAGCACACATGAAGTAATAACTGATCACCATTATTGAATTGATATCTATTTCTAAACCAATTGTGTGGGCTTTGTGGAATTGAGGGAGGCAGCCCTGACCCCCTATTCTTAAAGATTTCACCTAAGTCATCTGTAGTGATTTTAATGACTTTACTGGGCCCAGGCCCACTATATTATAAGATACATTGAAATCAGAACAGCTGGGTTTGGTGGCCCACATCCGTAATTCAAGTAGAAGAGAGAATTTAAGGTTATCTTTGGCAATTTCGGCCCCCACCCCCCCGAGTAAGAAGCAGTTGTGGCCAGACAAGGTTGCATGCACATCAGTCATCAACACTCAGGGGGCTAAAGCAGAGTAGTCTCTGTAGTTGCAACCACTCCTGCCACCCTCCCTCCCCAAAGAAAGACTGTTTAAAGGAAGGGTGAAAGAAGAAAAGAAGGACACAGGACAGGTGTGAGGGTGACTGAGTACATCAGACAGCAAAGATAAACTGTTCCAGTATGGAGAGGATGTCCTCTTACAAAGTTGTTCTCCAGCACTACACTGTGGCACTGGCGCTCCCATTGTACATACAACTCATATACATTAGAAATAAAAGTATTGTAAAGTAGGTGTTGTGGAACACACTATAGTCCCAGCACATGGTGGCCAAGGCAAGAAGGAGCACAAGTTTGAACTAGTGTGGGCTACATAGCTCTATAGTGAGGGCTTCTAAGGGGAAATCCAGCATGGTGGGCACATCTGTAATGCAGGTACTCAAGGGGCAGAGGTAGCTGGGTGTCTAAGCCAGCCTGCTCTACATAGAACATTCTCATCCAAACAAGGCTGAGTAGTGAGGCCTTATCAATCAATCAATCAATAAACAAATAAAATTTATGCATAACAGCTGTATGTATGAATCTGCTAAAATTTAAAGAAAAAGTTGAGATGAATTATGGCAACAGTTAAAAGACATTACAAAAGACATTACTATCCAGGATTTAGGAACCTTTGCCTTAAGTCTCCATGAGCCTCAGTAAGAAAATTGTTTAGCAGTGTATATAGTCTTCAACTTTCATAGACGGTGTCTTAGTCAGGGTTTTTATTCCTGTACAAACATGACCAAGAAGCAAGTTGGGTAGGAAAGGGTTTATTCAGCTTACACTTCACATTGCTGTTCATCACCAAAGAAAATCAGGACTGGAATTCAAGTAGGTCAGAAAGCAGGAGCTGATGCAGAGGCCATGGAGGGATGTTACTTTCTGGCTTGCTTCCTCTGCCTTGCTTAGCTTGCTTTCTTATAGAACCCAAGACTACCAACCCAGGGATGGCACTACCCACATTGGGCCCTCCTCCCTTGATCACTAATTCAGAAAATGCCCTACAGCTGGATTTCATGGAGGCATTTCCTCATCTCTGTGATAACTCCAGCTTGTGTCAAGTTGACACACTAAACCAGCCATTACAGAAGGGTAGTGAGAACCCTTGCCTCAAGTGAGGTTTTCCTTGGTTTTCTCCAGATGTATTTGGCCTGTGGGACAGGAAGGCACTTACTGATTGAACAGCCTTTGATAATGACATCATTCTAGGATATGCTTTATTTAGTCTCAGGGATGACTTGCACTCCAGAGCTGGGAATCACATGTTAGTTACTATGCCTTCCCTGTTAAAAGTTCTTCTCTGTGATCCAGATAGGGACTACCGTACAGGTAGCTGCAGTTTATAGACTCAGCCCCAGATCAGAGTAATGTCTATATCCTGAGGTATCTACTGGCCTTTCATATTTTCAGTGGCATCCTCATGCTATCCTGTGCTTTCTCTGAGAAGCCTGCCTGATCTAGGCCTCCAAACACATCTCAACCCTTTGGCTCCTACCCTAGTCTTGACACTTGAGATGTTTTCAACTAATTTACTTTTCAATTAATAAGATATCATGTCCCCTATGAATTAAATGTTATATTGCTACTTGCTTCTTTAACCTAATATTGAAATGTAAACTTCTCTGGAGCTCAGTTGGTTGAGTGCTTGGCCATCATATACAGAGCTCTGTGAGTATAAACTGGACATGGTGGCACACATCTGTGATCCCAGAATTGAGGACATGAAAGCAAGAGGATTGGAAGTTGAAGGTCAGCTGTAGCCATCTGTTAGCCTAGGTTATCTGAGACTTATCCCCAAAGTAAAGCTGTTCTGTGTCCATAGCTGTAGCATTCTTCTCAGCAAGGACGCTGTTGTCCATTGCATGACTCTGTTACATTATTATTTATTAGGATCACTTTCCTTGGGCATACGACTTATTTTTTTAAAGATACACACACACACACACACACACACACACACACACATATACATACAAACTGTAGCTGTCTTCAGACACACCAGAAGAGGGCATCTGATCTCATTACAGATGGTTGTGAGCCACCATGTGGTTGCTGGGAATTGAACTCAGGACCTCTGGAAGAGCAGTCAGTGCTCTTAACCACTGAGCCATCTCTCCAGCCCATAAGTTATTTTTATTATCTCAATAGCCTAGTGGTGCATGTCTCCTCTCATTTCCTTAGGAGGAAGAACTTACAGTAGCTGTGGTCATTTTTTTTGTTTTGTTTTGTTTTGTTTTGTTTTTCGAGACGTGGTTTCTCTGTATAGCCCTGGCTGTCCTGGAACTCACTCTGTAGACCAGGCTGGCCTCGAACTCAGAAATCCACCTGCCTCTGCCTCCCAGGTGCTGGGATTAAAGGCGTGCGTCACCACCGCCTGGCAGCTCTTGTCATTTTTGTGAGTCTCTTTAATAGTCAGAGCCATATATAAAGACCAGAAAATGATCTACAATCTTTAAATGCTTAGCGATTAAAGCTTGTTGGATTTTGTGAATTCAAGATTTAAAACTGGTTTTTAAGATAAGTGTGGTGGCAGATTCCTTTAATCTATCAGCCTTCAGAAGGCAGATGCAGGCAGTCTCTGATCTGAGTCTACAGAACAAGTTTCAAGACAACCAGGTCTAGCTACATAGAAAAACTCTGTCGTGAAAAAATAGTAAACTGGCTTTAATTGTTACTTACTTGAGATAGGGTCTCACTGTATATCTCTGCTTGGCACTATCTGCGTACACCAGAAATTTGTCTGCCTCTGTCTCCCGAAATTAAAGACATTTGGCTTTATGCATTCAGATGGCTCAGGGTCTCACTGTACCCCTGGCTAGCCTGAAACTTACTTTTTAGACTTGGTCTTGATCTCAGAAGAGGTTTGCCTGCTGAGATTAAAATTATATGCTACTACATCTGACTTTAAATTCATTTTGTTGTTCACAGAAAATAAATCAGATACCTGGAGATGTACTGCTAGTCCTAACTAGAAGCACTCTGTGTATGTGGCCTTCTAGAGCAGCATTCGAGAACATTTGTAACATTTGGAACCCAGTTGGGGAGCTCTCTTGCTTAATGTTGGATATCACATGTTTAATTACTGTAGAAAGGATGGTTTTGCTTTAGTTTCCAGTGAGAGTTTCTAATGTTTAGTAGAAAACACTAATGAAAACAAAGATGAAGAACAAGAGATGTATAAAATAACTAATACAGGAAATTTAACTTAAAAGACAAAAACATAACAACTAAAAAAAAGAATGTGAGCCTAGCATAGTAGTGAATGTATTCATTTCTCAAAGGATTAAAACACTATGAGAGACTACAGTTAAAATTTGTTGGTTTTTTTTTGTTGTTATTTCTTACAGGTATCTCATTCAGTTGCAAAACTTATATTAGTTAATTTCCACTGGCAAGTCTCAGAGATTCTGGACAGGTAAGATATTCAGGGGAAGAGATGAAATTGCCCATAGCATCCTCTGCCCAACCACTGTGATTTTACAAAGCCTGGTTTCTTGTAGCCCAGGGCTGTCACCACCCACAATGGGCTGCCCCACCCGCATCAGTCACTGATTAAGAAAGTACCTTCCAGGCTTGGCCTACAGTCTAATCTTTTGGGTTTTTTGTTTTGTTTTTAAGATTTATTTTATGTGGCATCAGATCTCATTATAGTCTGTGTGGTTTCTGGGAATTGAACTCAGTACCTCTGGAAGAGCAGTCAATGCCCTTAACTGCTGAGCCATCTCTCCTGCCTCCAAGATTTTGGTGGGGGTGGGGGAAGACAACCATTATATAGCTCTGGCTGTCGTTGAATTTGTTTTGTAGACCAGGCTGGCCTTGAACTCAAGGAGATGTGCCTGTCTCTACCTCTGAGCCCTGGGATCAAAAGAGTATATTACCACAGCAGGCCTATAGCCTGATCTTAGGGAAGCATTTTCTCAGTCAAGGTTCCCCCTCTCAGATGACTTCTGGCTTTTGTTAAATTAACATAAAAACGAGCCAGCATGTATCCTGAACATAGTGAGATGTTCAGTGGAAAGGTGAGTCCGTAGCATTCTTCAGTGTCTGCCCAACCCACTGTGATTGCTCTCGGCACTGTGGAGTATGTCCTTAATGCACACACAGTCGCTAAAACACTGCAAGATATTTTATGTCCTTTTCTTTGAGCATATTCTCATCTCTTCAGCATACTCTTCTACTTCAGTTTTAATGCTGGAATAGTTTTTTGTTACTATACAGGTGTCTTCATACTTTTTTTATACCTCTGTTGTTTGGCAGCAGATTTACATTAAGTCTTCTGTGTCTGTGTGTAATAGACCATTCCCCATAACACCTACCCCTAAAAGGTTGGAAAATGGTTAGGTGTGATGATGGTACATGCCTTTAACGCTTTTGATGGACTGAGCAAGAGCTTTCCCACTTAGCTATATCCCCAACCCCAATTTACCCGTTATTTTGAAATACAATTTTGCCGGGCAGCGGTGGCGCAAGCCTTTAATCCCAGCACTTGGGAGGCAGAGGCACGTGGATTTCTGAGTTCGAAGCCAGCCTGGTCTACAGAGTGAGAGTGAGTTCTGGGACAGCCAGGACTATACAGAGAAACACTGTCTCGAAAAACCAAAAAAAAAAAAAGAAAAAAAAGATGAAATACAATTTTGCTAAGTTGTCTAGGTCTCTCTGTAGCCCAGGCTGGCCTTTAACTTGTGATCTGCCTGTTGCTATGTCTGAAGTAGCTGTTTGAAGTAGCTGGGAATACAGATCTATGCCATGAAGCTTGGCTGGAGTAGATAATTCTTTGGGGATGTAGTGCTACTATGTAAACTATTGGAAATCTGGCAGCTCCTGTGGGCTTTACCTACTACATGTCAATAGCAGTGGCTTCCTCGGGTCTTTGACAATTAAGAATGACAGAAACCAAGAATAGCTTCAAATTGGGCACGGTAGGTCTCCCTATCTCTTCTTCTTGAATACTGAAAATACATACATGTGCCACCAAGGTTTATGTAGTGCAAGACATCAAACCTTATGCATGAAGCAAATACTCTGCTAACTGAGCTATTTCCTTCCCAATAATTTTTTGGTTTTTTTGAGACAGGGTTTCTCTGTGTAGTTCTCTGGCTGTCCTGGAACTCTTTCTGTAGACCAGGCTGGCCTCAAATTCAGAAATCCACCTGCCTCTGCCTCCCAAGTGCTGGGATTAAAGGGATGCACCACCTCTGCCTGGCCCCAATACTTTTTATACTCTTATTTTATTCTTAAACTGTATCTTCTGGGAAGCTGGAGAGGTGGCTCAGTGGTTAAGAGCACTGACTACTCTCCCAAAGATCCTGAGTTCAATTCCCAGCAACCACACAATGGCACAAAACCATCTGTAATGGTATCTAATGTCCTCTTCTGGTGTGTCTGAAAAGATCAACAGTGTACTCACATACATAAAGTAAATCCTTTTTAAAAATTATGTATCTTGTATTTGTATGATTTTATAACTTTATAAATCTGGCTGCATTTTATATTCTCTCATCAGCTATTTATCTTTTCTCTCTCAGAAAACAGTCTTGAGGGCTGGTGGTTCAATGATTCTTATTGCTCTTGCTGAGGACCCAGGTTCAATTCCTAGTACCACATGGCAGCTACAACTGACTATATAGAACTCTAGTTTCAGAGACTCCAGTGCCCTCTCCTAGCCTGCTTGGTACCAGGCGCACAGATTATGCATATACATACATGCAAGCAAAAGTTTCATACACATAAAATAAATATTGAAAACCAAACAGAACCACTGAGCATTGTGGCACACCCCTGCAATCTCAGTACTTGAAAGGTAGAGACAGGCAGATCTGTTAGAGTTCCAGGACAGCCAGGGCTACAAAGTAAAATCCTGTCTCCAACCTCTTCTTGGCCCCTGCCCATCCCCAAAGAAAAGAATATATTGAGATAAAATGAAATTTGGTTCAACAAAGAAATTATCAGAGATAACCTGAAACATACTATATAGAATAGGCTGGCCTCAAATTTGCTGAGTGCTAGGATTATAGACATGTACCATTATTATGCTGACAAGGTAAAAGACACTTTGATATAACCACAACACCTGATGGTCTGGTCTGTTCTTGAGAGTTAAAAATGTCTTGAGATGTGATTCTGTTTCTGCCTTTTGTTTTCTAGGTACAGGTCTAATTCTGCTCAGCTGCTTGTTGAGGCTCGAGTTCAACCTAATCCATGCAAACATGTGAGTCACTGCTAGAATGAGCGGTCTTTAGTGTTCATGGCTTTCTCTGTGGCTCACAGTGTTAGCACCAGCTTTGTTTGGTGCTGTATAGAATGCCTGAGATCCTTATTTTGCTCCTAATTCTCCTCAACCCCCAGTTTTTCTCTCTTATTTTAACAAGGTCTTGTTATGTAGACAGAACTTTGCCTGAAACTCAGATCTGCTGCCTGCCTTTGCTTCCTGAGTGCTGGGATTAAAGGCATGAGTGTTCTGCCTACAAGTTTGCATATGTACTACGTGCATGCCTAGTATGTATGGAGGCCAACAGAGAGCATTGAATCCCCTGGAACTTGGATTACAGATGGGTGTGGGCTGTCATGTGGTGCTGGGAACCTAACTCAGGTCTTTTACAAAAACCAAGAGCCTAGACGCTAATCTGTTTTGTGATTTGGGTATGTTTATATGGGAAAACCACTGCTCTTGACAAACTGTAGTGTGGACTGTGAGAACCCTTACAGTTCAGCCTTTCAGAACCTTACGTGGTGTTTGTCCTCCTTCTCTCCCTAGGTCCCCACAGCCCATCCCCCTCACCACTGTGCAGTGTGTATGCAGTTTGTGCGGAAGGAAAACCTGCTCTCTCTGGCCTGCCAACATCAGTTTTGCCGAAGCTGTTGGGAGCAGCATTGCTCAGTACTTGTCAAAGATGGTGTCGGTGTAGGTGAGTCTGCACTGAAATTAAATATGCCTCTCAAAAAAAAAGTCTTTTGAAAAACATATTTATTTGATTTTATGTGTATAGTAAGTATTATGTGTAGCTCTGTGTACCATGTGTGTGCTTAGTGCCTGCAGACGTGAGAGGAGACGTGGGATCCTTGGAATGAAAGTGACAGTGATCATCATTTGGGTTCTCGGAATAGAACTCAGGTCCTCTGTTAGAGCAACAAGTGCTTTTAACTGCTAAGCCGTCTCTCCAGCCTTAAAATATTTGTCTTTCAGTCTGTATTTTTGTACACTTAAGTAAGCATTTCTTCTAAGATTAACAGATTGACCAAGCTAGCTCAGTTCTCCAGCGCATGATTGAGGATTAAAAAGAAAAACGACAGTTAGACAACACTGTAGCACGACCCAGCCAGTTCTGAGGCTGAGACGGGTTTATTTTTCCCAGTCTGCTTTTATACCATTTTAATTACGTGCAAGAAATAAGGTCAAGCAGTACAATAAACACAAATAGTCAAAGAACAAGCAAGGCAATAAATAAAGTCCCGTGACTACTGTTTCTGAGGTGCCAATCAGGATGACCAAGATATCTGATCCTACTTCCCTGTCCTAGCCCAAAAGTCATATTCATGCGTGAAGCCTGCTTCTTTGTTCCAGCCTAAAATTAGATTCCTGCCAGAACTTATTTCCCTGTTCTAGCCTAAAATCAGAGCCCTGCCTGTACTTACTTCTTGTCATGGCCCAATGTCAAATTCCTGCCAAGCGGCCCTAAAAAGCTCTCCACAAATATAGTCAGTCTAAATAGTAATACAGTTTTCTGTAGTCTCTAGTAAAATGCGAAAATTAAAGGTTTTAGAACTATTGGTGTGAGTACAAACTGATCTTGTGTCATTATTAAGAGATCTGTCCTTAGTTAGGCATTGGTGGTACACACCTTTAATTCCCAGTATTCAAGAGGCAGAAACAGGATGATCTCTGAATTGGAGATCAGCCTGGTCTACAGAGTCAATTACAGGGCAACCAAGACTTCATAGAGAGAAACCCTGTCTTTAATGAGGTGGGGACGGGGGTAGGATGCTGAGGAAGCTGTCCTTTGAGCTGCCTGCCGTGTTTTGATTCTATCTACTGCTTTTGGGCAATGTAACCTCTATCAGATTTGATTATCAGGTGCAGGAGTATTTGTAGTCCCCTGACTTGATAATATTAAGAACCATGTTCATTGCTGCAGAATCTCAGGATTATTAACCTAGGCATGGTGGCACACTGTGATCCCAACATATGAGAGGTGGAAGCAAAAGCATCAGGAGTTCAAGGCCTGCTTCAGCTACATAGCAAGCTTAAAGCTAGCTTGGACTATATGAAATAGTGTTCTCTGCCTCCCCTCCAAAAAAAAGAAAACACCAAGATATCAATATATTACTAATAATTACATGTACACGATATTATGAAATCAGTCATATAACTCACTAAGTCTATAATATTTTTTGCTATTGTTGTTGTTGTTTGAAACAGGTCTCCACATGTAGCCTTAGCTGACCTGGATCTCATTATGTAAACCAGGTCGCCTTCAGACTCTGTCTCTGCTTCCCCAATGCTGGGATTAAAGGCATGAGCTACTACACCTAACATTATAATTTTATTTAGTGGTGCTTATAATGATATTTGAATAATTAGGCCCAATATCTTCGTTACATTTGATGAAAACATGTTAATTTCTTTTTAAATAAGTTCATGTTGTTTTATCTTGTTTTGTGTTTTTTTGAGTCACTATTTCTCTGTGTAACAGCCATCTCTTTCTTGGACTCACTTTGTAGACAAAGTGGCCTCGAACTCATAACCTGCCTCCACGATTAAAGGCTCTACCATACCCAGCTTTGACAACTATTTTGAACAGAGAATTTCCTGTATGAAATTAGAATTTGTTGGTTGAATATAGTGGATAAGTATATTGTATTGTGTCTTCTACAGTATGGTCATCCGTCACATTATCTTTGTTCAACAGGAATCTCATGTATGGCTCAGGATTGTCCACTTCGAACACCAGAGGACTTTGTATTTCCCTTGCTTCCCAACGAAGAATTGAGAGATAAATACAGGCGCTACCTCTTTAGGGACTATGTGGAGGTATGAGCAGCCTTGTTCTTTTGCCCTCTGTCTTCTTGACAGTACAGTCATAAGTGGTGGTAAGTCACATAGGTCATGAAGAGGACCGTGTTAATTCTCAGTACTCATGTTTCATCCATAACTCCAGCCACAGAGGATCTTGACACCTTCTTCTGGCCTTTCTAGGTACCTGCATGTATCAGCACATACCTATTCATTTCCCACACTAGGTGCATAATTTAATTTTAAAAACTGTGATAATGAAAAAATGCTGTCTAGATCTCAGATCTGTTGCTTCCTTGTTCTGAGACCACTTGCTCATTAGTTTACCTGAGTCTTGGTTTTCACTGCCATAATGTGGACAGCCATCCCTGTCATCAATGCAAGCTGCGCAAGTCATCTTATTTGAGGGGTGAGCACGGGGCAGACATAGCTCAAAAGTTGCTATTCTGTTTGTTTTTCACTACAATTCAGCCCAGAGAAGGGCTGTTTTGTTTGGGTTTTAACAATTTGAAAAGTTTTTCAGGATACCAGTATGGTCAGTTCTATATTCTGTTTCCTTTTAGGCTGTCAGTCCAGCTTTGCAGATTCTGTACAGCATAATTTTCAACTTTGTCTGTTATGACTTAGTTTAAAAGCTTATTGGATTGGTTGTTGTTCTGCACATATGCAGGATAAACACAAGGCCTTTTTCTTTGCATAATTTGTTCCTGTGGACAGATTATTAAGGGTCTTTGAGTCCTCAAGCTGTCAGATGCACAGGTAACTGAGCTGTGTTCTCATCCAACCCACATCGAAACATTTTTTTCCTGACATATGTTATCCCTGGGTTGACCCAGATCCCCTTAATTAAACTCCCTGGACTCAAGCAATCCTCCTGCCTTAGTTTTCTAAGTAGCTAAGTATCTGGAGCTATAGGCAGACATGTCTTTTCCTAGCCTACAGGTATACTTCTATACCTTCTTATAAAATAACTTTGAGTTGGTGGCTCCTTGTTTTAAGCTAAAGAAAGATTCTTTGTAGTAATTAGTATCTGCTCTTCACAACATCGATACTAAATTTGTTTAGTTCTTTGATATAGGTCATCAGCTGGAAGTGCAGAGGCACTTGAGCAGTCTGTTTGAGACACAACAGAAGATCTCTCATCATTTCCCTTTGATGTGTTTACAGAGTCATTATCAGCTCCAGCTGTGCCCTGGTGCAGACTGCCCCATGGTTATTCGGGTACAGGAGCCCAGAGCTCGCCGAGTGCAGTGCAATCGGTGCAACGAGGTCTTCTGGTAAGAGAGAGCGGATGCTGAGCAGTCCTGGGCTCATGGTCCATCTTCCTCCAGAGAGCATGTGGCTGTATGTGAGGACAGGGCTGGGAGAGTTAACACATCTGTCTAGAAGAGTACAGCTCTAGGTGGCCAGGTTTGTGCCCAGCATTTCATGTTCCTCAAGGTATTTTTGGTAAATGAACAGACTCTGAAGGCAAGGAAGTGGCAGATTCCTGGCAAGTATGTTAGGTTTGTGCTGTACTCATGACCCAGACACTGTCTACCTTACAGATTGTTTGCAGTGACTTCAACACTTTTTATCTTATCTCTGTTTTGAACTTTTTTTTTTTTTAGCTAAATTTTAAATTAATTTTTTAATATCTTTTGGCAAGATCTTATTTAGCTCAGGCTGGCCTCAGATTCAAAGCATAGCCAAGATGACCTTGGACATCTGATGGTCTTCCTTGTGCTTCCATAGTGCTGTGATTCCAGAGTTTCATCATCATGGCTAGTTTATATGGTGCTAAGAGTTGAACCCAGGACATTGTTTTTCTTATTTTGTTTAGTTTTGAGACAAGGTCTTGCTATGTAACTTTGGCTAACCTGGAACTTACTTTGTAAACCAAGCTGTCCTCTAAAGATCGCAAAGATCTGCCCTCCATTAGCTGGTAGTAGTGCTAGAATTGATTCCATGTGCCACCCCACTGGCACTGGCTGACTTGTATAAAACTGATTCATGGGTGAATTCTACATCTGAGATTCTCCTCATTCAGTAAATTCCAAGTGACAAGCCTGTGTCCAGCCATTCCCCTGCATCATCACAGCTGTGAGATTTGCTGTCACCATTTTAGTCTATGTCAGGAAACCAAGGTACAGGTTACTAACTACCAGTAAATAGCAGAGCCATAGTTTAGATCCAGGTTTGTCCTAATTGCAGCTCCCTGGAAGACTGATGATCAGCTTCATAGAGGCCTCACAGTAAACGGCTGTGTGTGTCTTGTGCTGTTCAGAACAGTGATCCCAGCAAAAGTTGAGAACTGAATAGTTGCTGCCTTGGGGACCTTTACTGTTCACTTGTACAAAAGGAAATGGAAAACCAGAGTCCTAGCTTTGCTTTGCTTTGGTTTGGTTTTTTAAGCTTCAATTTCTTTCGGAGAGGAGTGTGGGTAGTTGGGACAGGGTTTCTCTGTGTAGCACTGACTGTCCTCAATCTCACTTTGTGGATCCAACTGCCTCTGCTTCCCAAGTGCTGGGATTAAAGATGTGCATTACCGCCTGTTTCTTTTCACATATAGTAGTACCCTCAGACTTTACAAGTGCTGGTATTCGTGTATCCTTATGTGCACATCTAGCCGGAAGGTGTAGAGAAGGTGGGGAATAAAAGGAAACTGGGCTTTGTTTGACTTCTTTCGGAAAGGGTAAATACCATCCAAGGGGTTTAAGGAGAAGCTAACTTCTGTAAGCCTGTTGAGAGCATCTTGGGCTCAAGATCAGGAAGCGTTCACAATGTGTTTCATTATAATCCTGGGTGAGTAAAGTCCCAAAGACCTAGAGAAGTGATTTTGCCTAATCCCTAACTCAGAATTTGTTAATTCAAACGAAAATTTAAAACAGGAAACCCTGACCTGATGACTGTTTGAATGTGTTTCTTTTCCAATTTTAAGTTTCAAGTGTCGACAGATGTATCACGCCCCCACAGACTGTGCCACAATCCGGAAATGGCTCACCAAATGTGCAGATGACTCCGAGACGGCTAACTACATTAGTGCTCACACTAAAGATGTAAGGACCATATGTCACCTGTACTGCATCTTTCCTAAGGAGTGCAGCCCAGGGCTCTCCCTGTGCATTAGCCATCTGAGAGAAGAGCATATATAGAGAGCCTGGGGCTCTGATGAGAGACTGGACACTCTGCCATGCTTAGTATAGTTTTATCTGTTTTTATCCTTGGACACATTTTTTTTTTTTCTTAATTTTTAGAGCTGGTCATGGGTGCTCACTCCAAAGGCAGAGATAAGTGGGTCTCTGTAAGTTCGAGGTCAGCCTGTTCTGTCTAACATAGAGAGCCAGAGCTACATAGAGAAATCATGTCGATTATTATTATTACTAATAATAATATCTTTTTTTACTTTATGTATGAATGTTCTACCTGAATATATGTATATGCACCACTTATGTGCCTTTTGGATATTTTGGAACTAGAATTAATGGATGATTTTGAGGCACTGTGTGGTGTTAGGAATTGAACTCTGATCCCCTGCAAGAGCAACAAGTGCTGTTAACTGCTGAGCCATCTCTTTAGCTCCAGATGCATTTATTTTAATAAAATTCCAAAGTACTTAGAAGAGTTTGACCTGAAGGAGAACTAACTAGAAAACTAAAACCCTAGTTTCTGTTGCTATTTACTAAACTTTGATAGCCTAGAAGTGGAGCAGTTAGTTGGCATAGTTCATAAGTAGCAAGACTGTATAATACAAGCCCAGACAGTCTCAGTGTTCACTAACGCTAACCCTGGGGGAAGCTGCTCACTGACTCAGGATCACACGCAGACTGCTTCACCCTGAGGGGAGGAGCTGCTTCACTCTAGGCTTGCTGTCCTTTTTCAAGTGAGAAGAGTTTTGAGGCAGTTTCCACACCCTCTTCTGGAAGCCAGAGTCCAAGCAAGCTGAGCAGGACTTAGTTTCTCCCAGCAGGCCCTCTTTCTGCTGCCTCAGCCTGGGCTTAATCTGAGTGGTGTCATAGCAAGGACAGATGGTGGAGGACTTAGTGGACCTGAGCTGACAGTGGAATTATTTCAGATCCCAGCATGCTGACCTCATTTCCTTGTATTGCTATTCCAGCCTCAGCGACCTGCCACATTTAAGTGAGACACTCCTCCCCAGAAGTGCTCACCATGAGCTACTGGGCATGGGTGCTTGGAGTTGTGTGTAATGTTTCTTAGAACCGGGCTGGTGATGTGTGAGCCTAATGGCACCTTCTGTCTCCTCAGTGTCCCAAGTGCAACATCTGCATTGAGAAGAACGGAGGCTGCAATCACATGGTGAGCAGGAGAGGTAGTTTGCATGCAAACATGGAGTCCTTGTTCAAAGTATGCTTCCTAAATGTGTTCTCTTCTGTTTCTCTCTGACAGCAATGCTCCAAGTGTAAGCATGGTGAGTTCAGGCCTGGTCTAGGGCTGTGGTCTGTGTTCCTTGTGCTTTCAACCCCATTACTTCTTAGTGAGTTCCTTTATAACGAAGCAGCAAATCAAAGGGGACTGACTCTCCATCACTTAAGATCACGTAACTGGCCTCAGAGCAGCTTTTGACTTGGGGGTGGGGACTTTTTTTTATAATTCCATTGCTGTCTTGGTGACATATGTAGTTAAAAGTCAAGTTTGGTGTGACCTCATGATCTTCAGTCATCCAACAAGACTTTTTTCCTTATCTTTCTTTATGGGCAGGGTCTGCTATGTAGGCCTGGGTGGCCTCGGGCTTGCTGCAGTCCTCCATCTGTGTCTCCCAAGTGGGTGGATTACAGACATGTGCCAACACACTTAGTCCAAGGTTTAGTGTGTTTTTTTATTTTTCCCAAAACAGATGGATATCAAGAGAATTAAAAGTTTTTCTTCAGCCAGGCGGTGGTGGCGCACGCCTTTAATCCCAGCACTTGGGAGGCAGAGGCAGGCGGATTTCTGAGTTCGAGGCCAGCCTGGTCTACAGAGTGAGTTCCAGGACAGCCAGGGCTACACAGAGAAACCCTGTCTCGAAAACCAAAAAAAAAAAGTTTTTCTTCGAGAGCAGTATCTATCTTTCATCCATTGGGATCAATTTACAGAGCTACAAATTGGTAGTTTCCTTTTCCTTCCTGCCAGATCAAATTCCTACAAATTGAAGATATGTTCAAATAGTCTCCCACACAGTTTCTCAATTTCACAATTGTGACATGACCCGTTTGTTACCTGGGTAATAAAGACAGGTGTATATATAGTGGCATATATTTGTAATCTCAGTCTTCAGTGTTGGAGAGGCAGAGACAAGTGAGTTCCTGGGACTTCCTGCTGGCTAGCCTAGCCTACAGTTTATCTGTCTCAAAGGGCAGGGGTGGGTGAGGGACAACCAAGCACCTGGGGAACAACATTCAGAATTGACCTCTGTCCTCAAAGTGTATATGCATGAGCATAGGTGCACACACACCAAAAAAGGAAGAAATTTGATTTTCAGTTTTGTGTATAATCTTAGGGCAAGCAAGAATTACTCACCCTGGGAAGTAATGAGGATAGCAGTCTCTGTAGTCAGCCTGTGTTCTAGATGACCAGATGAGACTCTTTTGGGCACATTTTTGCTTCCTGCAATGGTATTGACAGGGCTGACCTGTGACCTTGTCCAGCACAGTAAGGCATATGATGTTTGCTGTTGGAATTCATAAGCCATTGGCTGTCCTAACAAGCTAGGGGACAGGAGCTGTGACAAGAGTGAGAGTTGTACATCCCCCTGCAGAGAGGCAACTTTGGGAGTCTGTGTTCGGGTTACCCCTTCATCCTGCTCTCCTGCCTGTGCCTTGGAGGAGTGTGTGGTTGTCTTGTGAAGATAAATTCCTTCACCCTCCTTTCTGTGCAGACTTCTGCTGGATGTGCCTAGGAGACTGGAAGACGCATGGTAGTGAGTACTATGAATGTAGTCGGTACAAGGAGAATCCTGACATTGTCAACCAGAGCCAGCAAGCACAGGCCAGGGAGGCCCTCAAGAAGTACTTGTTCTACTTTGAAAGGGTAAGTGTCTTACCTTACAGCAGCCCTTTCAGAGTTGGCTTTCCCCACTTGGCCTGCTGACAGGAGAGCACTGGGGTACTGTATGTGTGTGTGGAAGTCAGTGACTGGCTCCAGTCACCTGCTTGGGTATCGCCTCCTACAAATGTGGTTTTTCAGTTGTGCAGGATGATGGGATATTTATTCCCTTAGTTGAGTGATGGATCATGGTCCGTCTGTTCCATAAGAAGATAGAGCAATATATGGGCATGGCCTACCAGCCAGTGTTTGTCTTAAACTTCTGTGTTGACCTCTGTACCTTCCTGGGACTCTACATTTTTTTTTTCTTTCTCTGCTTTATAGTGGGAAAATCACAACAAAAGCTTGCAGCTGGAGGCACAAACATACCAGCGGATTCACGAGAAGATTCAAGAGAGGGTTATGAACAATCTGGGAACGTGGATTGACTGGCAGTACCTGCAGAATGCTGCCAAGCTGTTAGCCAAGGTATCCACCATCTCACTCTTCCATCACTGGCCCCTGTTGGCTGCAAACATTAGGGTAGGAGGCCATCTCTGAGAGGAGGGGGAAGAAAGGAGGAATTTGGTGCCCTGCATAGCTTTGCATTCATGTCTGTGGGGCACATGTCTGTGCTGAAAATGCCGGAGTTTTGGCCCTTTGCTAGATGTCTAAGAGACTTCTGAGCAGTTTTACTGTCTCTGCCAACAGAGAGCTCAAGCCTTTTTCTTCTTTGTTCCATTTATGGCTAACTGAAGTGATAGTATGTAATCGATAAATATCGAGATGTAGATTTTATCACAGTTTTTTTTTAAGTTTTCATTTATTTATTATGTGTAAGTATATTGTAGCTGTCTTCAGATACCCCATAAGAAGGTATCAGATCTCATTACAGATGGTTGTGAGGCACCATGTGGTTGCTGGGATTTGAACTCATGACCTCCAGAAGAGCAGTCAGTGCTCTTAACCGCTGAACCATCTCACCAGCCCCCGAGATATGTAGATTTTAATGACCACAGAAAAGTCTTGAGGCAACTGTTGGTGCTTAATCAATATGAAGGGTGTTGATTCTGTGACCATTCTTGTTTCCAGTTTCCCTGTCTTCTTGTAGTCCATCATCTCTGTAGTTTGGCCTTGTTTCTTTAAGGTCCCCATGTCTAGAGTCACCATTTGCATGGTTGGATATGAATTGTAAGAGCCACCTAATGTGTGGGTCAGGTAGAATCAAAGATAAAACTTTTTTTTTTCTTTCCTACTACAGTGTCGATATACCCTGCAATACACCTATCCATATGCATACTACATGGAATCCGGTCCCAGGAAGAAGCTGGTAAGCCATAACTGCCTTTCTGCTGTTCCATGCAACTTTAGAGGGGCCCATTTTTACAGGCACTGTACAGGTGAACATGGTCCTGACCTGGTCATTGGGAGAACACAGTGAAAACTGTCTTACTGCAAAAATCCATTCTAGCTCTGGACCTCAGATGCTATAGTAGCCAGATGCACCTGATCCCTTAAACAGTGATATTTAAAGATCAATGGACTCAAAAAGTGTGTGATCACTTGGATAGCCAGTGGCCATATCATACACATCCTTATATTATAGTTGTCTGTTTTTCCTTTAGTTCTTCTTCTTAGGTATGGTTGTTTCTCCTGATGATAAAAGTTTTTATTTTTATATATCCCTTAAATGTGGGAAAACATAGCATTTATGTCATGCATTTTCTAGTCTTTAAAATTAATGTTATGGAAAACTTTGTTGTAAGTTAAGCAAAGCTTTGTGGTAGAGCACTTGCCTAGCATACATGAGCTCCCAGATTCCATCTCAGTACAAGAAAAACACAGGCATGGTTGCACAAACTTTGTGACCCCAGTGATCCAGAAGGATTGAGTTTTCTGTGCGGCCTAGACTATAGCAGATCCTTATCTCAAACACCAAAGCACAAAGATGCATGTATCTTATTGTTACAAGTTTATCATTGTCACAGCCCTCAGCGTTTACCAGATTGAATTCTTCTTTACATAAATGCTCCAAATAGCTTAGCTTAATGTATCATTTGAGATGAAAGTTGTTTCCACTTTCATTGTCACAACTAAGACTGAGGAAAGTCTTTTTGTGTAACATTTTATTCCTCAGGTGTATGGTTACTAAGTCAAACAATTTGATTTCTTTCTTCTGAGTCTAAAAAAAATTAGCCCAGGCATCCTTGAACTTAAAACTTTTCTGTCTCTGCTTCTAGTGCTGGGATTACAGGCCCACCACCACATAGGGCAAATTGTTTGGTTTTTCAAAGGGTATTTTTCTGTTTGGTTTGGTTGTTCTTTGTTTGTTTTGTTTTTTTGTTTGTTTGTTTGTTTGTTCGTTTTTGCTTGGTTGGTTAGTTATTTTCGGAGGTAGAGTTTCATGTAGCCCAGGCTGGCCTCAAACTTGCTAATAACCAAGGGGGGGGGGGGACCTTGAACTTCTGATACTCTTTAGTGTTGGGATTACTATACCATAGTGTGCTACCAGACCCAGTTTATGTCATGCTGGAAACTGAACCCAAGGCTTCATACATCCTAGGTAGGTATTTCGCCAACTGAGACACAGCTGTATACCCCATTTTAAGGCTTTGTTGGCCAGATGACTGGGGAAAGTAAACTGTGGAGTAAAGGCAGTATCTTAACAATATCCATCTTAACGTTGGCGGTATCTGTCCCAATGTTTTGGGACCATTTTTCCTGTGGCTTTAAGCTTCTCACCTTCCTTTGGTGGTGGACGGTACATGTTGCTTTGCCATTTGCTCCTCTCTTCTGGAAGCTCTTGGGATGTTGTTTTCCAGCTCTGGGCATAAAGAGTAGCAGGCACGCTGAGGACAGTGTCAGGCGTGTCAGTTGCTAGTTGGAGCCTGAGGTGCTGCATGTACCCTCCATCTGCAGGCCCTGCCCGGCTACAGCCCTCTCTCCTTTTGACCCTCCTGCTCTGCCCATACAGTTTGAATACCAGCAGGCTCAGCTGGAGGCTGAGATCGAAAACCTTTCATGGAAAGTTGAGCGTGCAGACAGCTACGACAGAGGGGTAAGTGCCTGCCGCCTTCCTTCAGGTAGGGGAAGGATGTCATTTTAATAGTGATTGTATTGGGAAGGGCAGGTATTTACTCCGTGGAGTGTCTGATATGCTGCCTGTGGCTTTGTTTACTGTCTGCTCCTGGCATTGAAACTTATGAAACCTGTTGTCTTGTCTGTACAGGACTTGGAAAACCAGATGCACATAGCAGAGCAGCGGAGAAGAACCCTGCTAAAGGATTTTCATGACACCTAAACTGGGCTGTGGCTGCCGGGGTGAGGAAGATATAGCTGTGAGGCTCCCGGCTCCGTACTGCATGCTGCAGACTCAGCCTTTCATGACCCAGGCAACAGCCAGGGCCCCACTCCTGAAAGACACTGGCAACACACCTCTTAGTCGATTTGTTTTCTCCTCATCTTTTTGCTTTTTGTTTCTACCAGGGTAGAGGCCATGTTGAGCTGGCCTCTAGTGAGGACTTTACATTTCCCCTGGATGGTTGTTGGGCGGGAGGGAACTTTTTTTTTTTTTCTGAATGGCTATTAATAGTATTAGATCATTACAACTTATGTAATTTTCAAAGGTTGTACGATTATAAAGGAAAGAGGCAAACCATAGATAACACAGAGCCCAATTACAATAAACTGGCATTGGAGTGCTTCCCCCTTAGCTATCTGACTTAGAATGTAACTTGATACTGCCTGCCCACCCAGCCTCAGCCTGTCTGCACTGCCGGGGGCCCTGGGGTGGCCTCTGCTTTCCAGCATTCTGTTTGACTGGAGCTGGAGTCCTGGGGAAGAGCACGGGTGGCAGCATAGGGAGCTGAGTTGGCCTACTTCATAGGATGCAGCACAGACTTACATACCTCTGGCCTTAGCTGGATAGCCAGGGCACAGAGCAGAGCAAGGTCTCACTGCAAGCTTGCTTCTATTCTTGAATGTGAGGTTTCCCTGAGTCAGGCCACCCAGACCAGCACCCACAGCAGAGGTGGGTTAATGCATCTCTGGACTGGGAGACTGGTTCAGCATGGTGCTTCCTTTTGTTTCATAAAGATAAGAAATCCACCTTTGAAAAGAGTTGTTCCCCCAGATGAGTTTCCTTTTCCTTGGTCGTTTGTTTTGATCCAGTATTCAAGTGGTGTACTCTGACCCAGGTCACTGTCTTGTTATGTTCTTATGAACAGAGTTCACAAGGTCAGAGTTCAGCATGGCTCTTAGACCAAGGGCATGGGCCTTGTGGCTCAAGAGCTAGGTTTGCACAAGTTATTTTTATGTTCACCTAGAGTGTGGCCAGAAGCTGCTCCAGGGTGGGGTGTGTTTCGCTTTGCCTAGTTGCAGCTCCCAAAAGTCCCCATCTCTATGGTCTGGGAGTCTAAGGCCAGGAAAATCCCTGGTTTGTGGTCTCAGTTCCTGTACTAGAAGGGGCTGGCCAGAAGAAAGGACCAGTTCTTGCACAGTCAAGTGCAAGGGAACAGGCAGCTTGCCTGGTGTCCTTCCTATCTTGAACCTGGTCCTGTGGGCCTTTGAAAAGTTAGATCTGTGATCTCTGGGGTTTCCATGGCTTTGTTCAGTGCCTCCCCTCTGAGACTGGCAGAGCTGTCTATACTTGACAGGACCTCCTTGAACTCCTAGGAGAGCCTATAGAGAAATCTGTGAATGTTATGATACAGATTCTTTGATAGTCATACATTCTCACCTCCAGTCAGCAGTTTCCTAGGTACCATGTAAAGCTGTAAAATTGAGTTATTCTTGAAGACAGGTGACAGCTGTGACGCTTGGGTACACAACCAGCTGCACATCCTCTTTCACCTCCTCAGGTTTTGTCTCTTCATGTCGTCCCTGACAAGTGAGATTGTGAGGTGGATTGGGAGTAGTAGTTTGGGGCATGGTGAATGGACCCAGAATACCAATGGGAGCTGATTGTGAACCAGGTGTGTACCTGCTGCAGGGTCCAGGGTGGCCTGTGATGCTGAGTTAGTACACAGACCTTTCCATCAAGTCCTGTTCGTGGCACTGCCATGACAGGACCAGAGTTGTGGCTCTGCAGCCGGACTCCCCGTTGGGTACTTTCTGAACTGCACAGCTCCATCCTCCACTCCTCAGCTGTGACCCTGACCATTGGCACTGCAGGAGGCTCTGCCAACCTGTAGCTGCTGGCACCTCACCTGTGGAGATCTTTGTTTTGCACCCTCAGTGGTTGTCCTTTGTTAACATTATCAGAACATCTGAAAGGTCAGGCAGAGGTAGGGTTTGGTTTGGCTTGGTTTAGTTTGCTATTTTTGCCCTACAAAGGGTAGAGAAAGGTGTTTTCATGAACTGACCAGATCCTTGTCTTTCTTCAAAGAAAAGTTGAGGTAATGTCATCTCGCAAAGTTGAGTGGTTTATTCAAAATAAACTCATTTTCTGATTATAAAATGTGTGGAGTCTTTTTTTCAAAGTGTACAGGTGACTACCTTTTGTTCTTCTCGATCCTTCAGGGGCTCTGAGGACCCAGCCAGACTTAGCACTGCTTTTCTTGAAGCTTCTTCTTAGGAGGAGAAGGTAGCTCTAGGTGTTCCCTGCTTGGAAGTGTTAGTTCTCTCCTTGGCGAAAGATTGAACCATTCCCACAAGCATCTTGGGATTGAAGTAGGAATGCCCTAAGCCCTGTCGTTAAAAGACCTCTGGGTCCTTTTAGAGCAGATGCAGAACCATAATACAGAGGACATTATTGGCTCTTGAGAGTTAATACAAAAATTGGAAATGGGTTTGAAAGTGTCAGGCATGCAAGCAGCACTGAGGAGAGCTTTCTCAGGGTTTCATTGCTGTGAGCAGACACCATGGCCAAGGCAACTCTTAGAAAGACAACATTTAACTGGGGCTGGCTTACAGATTCAAGAGGTTCAGTCTATTATCAAGGTGGGAGCATGGCAGAATCCAGGCAGATATGGTGCAGGAGTAGCTAAGAGTTCTACATCTTCATCTGGAGGCTGCTAGGAAAATACTTCAGGTAGCTAGAACAAGGATATTAAAGCTCACACTCACAATGACACACCTACTCCAACAAGGCTATACTTCCTAATAGTGTCACTCCCTGGGCCAAGCATATACAAACCATCACAAGAGGTAAACTAGCACTGGGGGCAGGGAGGGTGCTTGCAAGTCCACACTGCTGGTCTTGGCCTTCGGTGTGTTGCTCTTACGCTTACCACTGGGTACACAGTGATGTACAAGAGGACACTACCCCCTAGAAGTGCCTTTAGTTCATGACAGAACAGACATAGAATGGGTGTCACTAGGGATTTTTTTTGTTTGTTTTATGTGTGTGGGTATTTTGTATGCATGTGTACTGTGTCTCTTTATCATACACATACCTGCTACCTAAAAGGTATATGGATGTTGGGAACCAACGCCCCTCCACTTACCCCAGGTCCTCTGCAAGAGCAACAAGTATTCTTAACTGCTGAGCCATCTCTCTAGTCCCACTAGCGAACTAGTGAATACGATTTTCTGGGCAGCAAGGACCAGTTAAGATAGGGCCATCCTTGAAAATCATTGGGCATGCTGGGCGGTGGTGGTGCATGCCTTTAATCCCTGCACTTGGGAGGATTTCTGAGTTCCAGGACAGCCAGGACTACACAGAGAAACCCTGTCTCGAAAAACAAAATAAATAAATAAAAATCATTAGGCATAGGGTAACATGGTGTTCATACTACTGGTGATCTTTGCATATGATGTCCCTGGCAAGATGGTTCAGTGGGAAAAGGCATTTGTCTGATAGCTGAGGAAGAGCCTCAAGATCCTTGTGGCAGAAGGAGAAAAACTAACTCCTGTAGGTTGTCCCCTGACCTCCACACTCTTCCCATAGCACAAACATGTATATACACACATTTAAATGTAAAAAATAAAATGCCTTTTTAGGGTCTGGAGAGATGGCTCAGCAGTTCAGAGCACTTGCTGTTCTTGTATAAGACCTGGGTTCAATTCCCAGCAGGCACATAATGGTTCACAATTGTCTGTAAATCCAGTTCTGGGAGATCCAGCACCCTTTCCTGGCCTGCATAGGCGTTCATATGCTGCACAGGTTTTTCTCAGATTTTTTTAATAAGGCTAGCTGAATATACTACATACTAATATCCAAAAGACACAGTATCCTAGGTAAAATGTCAGGTTTTGTAGCACATACACACCTATAATCCCAGAGCCAGGAAAGTTAAAATGATAAAAAAATTTTTGTTTTTGTTTTTCTTTTCCGAGACAGGGTTTCTCTTTATAGAACTCACTCTGTAGACCAGGCTGGCCTTGAACTCAGAAATCCACCTGCCTCTGCCTCCCAAGTGCTGGGATTAAAGGCGTGCGCCACCACCGCCCGTCTAAAATGATAATTCTTTTAGTTGATATTTATCAACAGTTGAAAAGTATAGTTTTAGAAATTGTCTGTTGTCCCTATTACACAAGAAACTGGCTCCTGACCTAAGTAAATACAGGAAACTACAGAGGGGGAAAACCCTGGAACCTGCTCTGGAATCAGGCCTTTAATTTGGGGGAGAACCTCTTGGCTCTGCCTCACATGTACTGGGGTTACAGGCGTGTTCTACTACACCCAACTAAGAAATTGGAATATTCCTAAGTGGTCAGTAAAGATTTCTCTGTTTACATCATTAACTTTGTTTTTGAGACAGAATCTGCCTTCACCTCCTAAGTGCTGAGATTACATAGGTGGGTACCACCATGCTGATTTGAGACTAAAACATTGTAGCAGTAATTAACATTCCTTTGTGAATTAACTTTAGGGAGCTGGGGAGATGGTTGAGTGGGTAAAGCTTGAAGTCTAGAGTTCAGATCTCCAGCATGTAAATAAAGGCTGAGTAGGCACTGCAGTCAGCCTATAATCCCAGTACTGGGGAGGTGGGTCTAGGATTCTCAAAGCCAGTTAACTAACCAGACCAGCTCAGTTGGTGAGCTCTGGGTTCAAGTGAGAAAGCCTCTTTGGTGAATATGGTGGAAAGTAATGGAAGTCGTAAGTATTAACCTTCAGCTGCCATGAATACACACACACTAAAAATAAATTCTGGGACAAGAGGCCATGTCCTTACTGCTTTTGCTTCTGTATAGGGACAACTAGGTGGGCCACCAGAGATCTATGGACCCACCTCTTATGAAGATGTATGACCATTGGCGCTGCTTTTTTTTTTTTTTTTTTTTTTTTTTTTTTTTTTTTTTTTTTTTTTTTGCTAAATCAACATTGCTACTTGTTCCTTTCTGACCCAGAAAACTCAGGTACCTATATCTTTTTGTGGGTTAGGAAGATTAACAAAGTACTCCTTGAAGTTGACTAGATTAGCTAATAAACTTCTGGCAGTTAGTGACCCTGAAGAAGCCTGCCATTGTAGAATGTTGGAAAGAAGTGAGCTGTCAGGTGTAGTACCTTACTGCATTGGGAGAGTGGGGACGGGTCAGCTGCACATCTGAGGGTGGCCCCCTAAGGAGAGCTGCTGCTTTATAATCTGAGTTTTATTTTCTTCAGAGGCCAGAGTGTCCTGATTAAAAAAAACCTTCCACCCTCCCTCTTCCTGTCCAGTAACTTTAAGGCACCAAACAGCGCCTGCTTCATTTTGAGGGATACAGGCTGGAGCTCAACCTGAGCACACTGGGCAGCTTCTTAGCAAAGTTCGACTGGCAGGATTCCCTCAGTGGTCCAGTCTGACTGCAGAAGGGCCTTCAAGAATATCTACAAGGTCGTGGGGGGCAAGCTGCAAGAACATCTGATGGCACATGCCTAGTAACTCCAGCATTTGAGAGGTGGAGGCAGGAGAATAAATTTATCCTCCTCTCCTTTCGAGTTTGATGAGCCAGCCTGAACTATATGAGACCCTGTCTAGGTTTTTTTGGTTTGATTTGGTTTTTCGTTTTGTTATTGTTGTTAAAAATTATTTTTTTTTAAAGAACGGAAGCTGGAGAGAGGCTCTTTGGTTAAGAACCCCAAAGTTCTTAGTGTTCTTGGCGAACACACAGGTTTTAGTCCCAGCACCAACATGGTGACTTACAAACATCTGTAACTCCAACTCCAACACCCCTTCTATCTTCAAATACCGGCACACATGGAGTGCACACACAAATATACAGCCATTCCATATACATAAAATGTTTTAAATAAACCAAACTCGTGGGAACTACTCTATAATCTCGTCATCTGGTGTGCAGTCGTTGGCCTCAGCAGCCCACTATGTCATAAAACACTGCCTCGCATTTCTGTCACTCTGACTCCCCTCTTCCAGGAGTGAGAAAATGCCCACTATATTTTTCTGGAAGGAGGGAAGGGGGCATCTTCTCCCGAGAACCAAAAAAACTACTAATAGCAATGGTGTCTGTCCTAACGGTGCTCCCCTGATGTGCCTCCACATTTGCGGATGGCCTTCTGGGTTGCAGTGTATACAGCTCCGGGAGCGACTAGCCCGGTGCGGACGAGGTCCCAGGATCTCTGTAAGGACTGATGGGTGCGGCTCCATGTAGGCGCAGCATCCCGAAGCACCGTCTCCTAGTGACCGCGGTGCGCGCTGACTCCGCCGTCCTGGTCCCAGCGACTGCGCAGCGCGAGCACCCCCGCGGCCCCTCCCCTGGGCGCGCGCGCGACCTGGGCGCCATGGCGGCAGCGGTGGCGACCGTGCAGCGGCCTGAGGCTGTGACGGTCGAGGAGGCCTCGAATCTTCAGTGGCCACTGCCACCAGAGCATCGCCCTTCCGTGACAGCGACCGGATCAGGCGATGGTGAAGAAGCACCGGTGCGGCCGCTGTGCAAGCCACGGGGCATCTGTTCCCGTGCCTACTTCTTGGTGCTGATGGTGTTCGTGCACCTGTACTTGGGCAATGTGCTGGCCCTGCTGCTCTTCGTGCACTACAGCAACGGGGACGAGAGCACAGACCCCGGGCCCCAGAGCCGCGAGCAGAGCCCCCAGCCAGTGCCAACCTTGGGTCCCCTCACCCGGCTGGAGGGCATCAAGGTAAGAACATCCTCTCCACCCCTGCTTCCCGCCCCCGCGCTGAGCGGAGCTTCAAGAATTGCCAAGCAGAGCCAGAAGGAACCGTGGCTCAGCTCTGGGCCACCACGCTGCCCCACGGATCACTGTGCGCGGGTCACGCGCGCGCCTACTTACTTTTCTACTGTCTCGCCCTGACACGGGACTTTTCTTGAGCAGTGCGGACTGGCACACTAGCTGCCTGCTGTGTACTTTTCCTTTAGGTGGGATATGAACGGAAAGTCCAGGTGGTCGCGGGCAGGGATCACTTCATCAGAACCCTCAGCCTCAAGCCATTGCTTTTCGGTAAGTCTGCAGGACATTGCTGGGAAGGGCCGGGGAGGAGCGGGGGCTGCAGCATCCACCCTGAGGCTTCTTTTGACCGTGTGTTTTCTGTTTTGAACATGGCTGCTTCGTACAGG